CATTTGGCTTTGGCAGAGGTGTGCGCTCTCTGAGTGCCCTTCTACTTTCTTTAAGTGATGGATGATGCAGCAGTTTGGAAAACTGTGTGTGAGGATGTTCAATGTGTCCCCTTCATACCAGAAACGTGACAGTCAAGAATCTCAGGATCTCTTGGCAACGTCACACTGAGTTGACCCCGAGAGCTTTTGTCACACATGGCTGTGGATACGTTTTGTCTCTGTGGATACAGTATGACACCTTACAGTCAGAAACGGAGTGACCTGTGTTACATCTGATTTGTGTCAAGTCACAGTAAAGTTACACAGAAAAAGCTAATTTACATATCAATATATCCTGTGCAAATATACAGTTTAGTATATGTGCCTTTTAAAAAATCTCATCAAATGTACTTTCACTTGAAAAACTCAATTATGTGACACATTCATTGCTCTAATTTGACATTTGGATTCATAACAAAGAGCCTTTTGTTTAATCTCTCCAAACTTCTTATCTACATCACGTTTTTTTGTCCTCCCCACCAAGAAAGAGAGAACAACTAAATGTTATATCTATGTCTGCACGTGGTTCTGTGCGCCTATCTGATTCCAGACGGAGACTGAAAGCTGTCGGATGGATCAATGTTTATTGCTTCTGCGGTGGCTGTGTGGGTCTGTGTATACGGTTGCATGTGTGTGTTATGATTCTTTGGTTTTGTATGTTTATGCATGCTGCTGTGCATATGCTAGTTTGTTTTGCTACTACTTGTTGATTTGTATGTGTGTCTACGACCATGAATGGATGCTGTCTAATGCTACAGTGTGGCTGGAGAGATTTGAATGGATGTTTTTTTATTGTTTGTCTTCAGCAGTGTTTGAAAATCTGAATAAATCAGATTAAACTTTGTTCCAGATTTGCATTTGTGGTGATGCAACATTACAGTAGTTCAGATATCAGACAGTTTAATCCCCCACACAAAACCGGAAAACAAAATAAGATTGTTGATATTGTCAAGAGGAAGTCATTTTAAATGTATTATGATATGTATAGGTTCAAAGGGCTAATCTAACGGTCCTCGGGCTGTTTGTGCTGCACCTGTTTGAGTGCCCTAAATACTCCAGCGGAGGAGTTGTCATCAGCTCTAAACGTGTGTGTGTGTGTGTGTGTGTGTGTGTGTGTGTGTGTGTGTGTGTGTGTGTGTGTGTGTGTGTGTGTGTGTGTGTGTGTGTGTGTGTGTGTGTGTGTGTGTGTGTGTGTGTGTGTGTGTGTGTGTGTGTGTGTGTGTGTGTGTGTGTGTGTGTGTGTGTGTGTGTGGTGTGTGTGTGTGTGTGTGTGTGTGTGTGTGTGTGTGTGTGTGTGTGTGTGTGTGTGTGTTGTGTGTGTGTGTGTGTGTGTTGTGTGTGTGTGTGTGTGTGTGTGGTGTTGTGTGTGTGTGTGTGTGTGTGTGTGTGTGTGTGTGTGTGTGTGTGTGTGTGTGTGTGTGTGTGTGTGTGTGTGTGTGTGTGTGTGTGTGTGTGTTTCCGGTTCCTTTCCTCTGGTTGGTAAACATACCTCAGCGATTAACACAATGAACAAAACCAACCTCAAAGCAGTGTTGGAAGATATCACCTGTATCCTTTCAGATTGAGTTTCATGTCTTACAGTGTTGGCCATCAGTCAGTTATTGGTTGATGGTCATTGGATTTCACTGAATGAGACATTGATTTAGTATTTTGTTATCCATATATAATTGTGTTTTGGTGGTGGTGAAAGTACATTTGCTGTTGCTATAATTAGAGGGTAGAGCTCCTGCTTCAAATTGTATAGAGTAAATCATCATATAAGAAATCGTTTTTTTTGCTCTGCTTTTACAATTGTATTCCTCTTGATATGTTTTTATATGCACCAAATATACACCAAAGCACATTCTCTGTAATGTGTAAACTTACCTGGTACTAAACCTGATTCTGATCATGACATGAGTGTCTTACCTTTTGACAAATAATTCATACCATTAAACAACACTTATCGCTGCAATGTTTCAGCTTCAGTGAGGTCTTATGGACACTAGTGATGCAGACATCAACACAGTTTAAGTTCTTACTCTTAATGTTCATTAATTGATGAATGATTTACAGAACTACACACATGCAGCACTAATCTACCCTCTGAAAAGACAGACATACAAAATTAAATACTGAAATGCTGTTTTTAATAATATATCCACCACATGCTCTGTTAATGGCATGCCATCTGCTAAATCAGAAATGTCATGAAATATATAGAAATCAAAGCCACCACCGGCACAGCGGATGGGTATTTGTATTCAGCATGCATAGCACATGAGAACCCATGCATAGAAATGGGCGATCATGGTCTATTAGTCCAGGTTCATGTTCCCTCAGCAGGAGTGCAGTATGCTCAGTATTGCTCATCAGTGTTCCTCTAACTACTTTTATTACATTGTTTCTCATGAGTCGACCGCAGATTATATTAGAAACACTTATCACCATCACTGGAATCCACAGTCTCATTCCATTCAGCTTTAAATGTTTATTTATCTGTCGTCAAAAATGATATTGCACAGTTGTGTGAAGAAGGAGCACATTGATAAAGCACATAGCAATTTATTTTATACATTATATAACATATTTTCTTAATCATTGATTCTATTTTGGGAGCCTTGGTTTCGATACGAAACAGTGTGATTTTAAAAATGAAGGGTCTTTGGCATTTTTTAAGAATCAACATTTATAAAACGTTATATAAACCACAGTTGTTTTTATTAACTCTTAACATATTGTGGTTGGGATTTTCTTTTTTCTGTATCAATGCACATTTGCTTTTTAATCAATTCTTCAGAATCTCTTAGGGCCTTTTTCTTGTTTGAAAGCTTTATCTGCCAGTGTGTTCCCTAGCTTAAAGGAGGAATAAATGAATTACTAAATCTTCAACAGCGTCATTAAATTCATATCACTTAATTCTAGCTGTCTCCATTTCCACTTCAAAAGGTTAGCATGTGAAAACAGCTCCAGACCAGATAGGAAGATATATTGCTCATATGCTTGGTTTTAAACTGTACTAAAATCTTCATGACATGTTTTCTAATAAGATAATAAAACATGGTTAATGACCTTCCACAGTTTTCTATTCTAATTTAACAGCAGTTCAACTAAAAGTATCTGTTTTTGACAGTAACTAAAACACATTTCCAATGGATGAAAGTTCAAATCTTAACTATGTGGTTTGATTTAACACTTTTACTTAGGTTTGTGTTATAAGTTGGAGCTGTACATTTCTCTACCATTACACTTTTTGGAAATCTCTCAGTAAAAGGGCTTTTTCTCCAGTTTGCAACTTTATTTAAAGTCCATATATTTAATTTTGTCTCAAGAGATCAGGCTCTCTCTTCTCAGTTGTCAAATCGTGTTTGTTCTTTGTACAATTGGGTGCACAAATGTCAAGATATTTTGCAGGCCTGGACATTATAGAGGAACCATCATTCATAACCTGTAGTCTGTCTCTGTGTGTAACATTTAAAGGATTCAGTGGATTACGCTGTCTCTGTAACTGTGATAGATAGCTCACACCTGCAGCACAGTGTAAACTACAACATATCCACTATATCTACTTATCCCTTCCTTCCTCTCTATCTCATCTCTTTCCCTTTCTCCTGTCTCTCTTCTGCTGTCCTTTTTCTCCTATTTTCTTGCATTTTCAAATTATTGTTCTTTTCTTTGTTCCACCTTTTCTTGGTCTGTCCTTGAATACAGTAACCAATTAAGGTTTATCTTATTCTTTGCTTCTTTGTTCCCTTCCTTTGTCACTTCTCGTTGTTTCTGAAGTGTCTCTTGTGCACAGTAGGTCTCTGTGTTCTTAGTTCGTTACAGAAGCTGCAGGCCGGATCCACAAATCAAACTGTGTAAATAAGCAAAATTTGCCCCTGCAGAGCGGTCACTGCTGTTGCCATGGCTACCTGTTGCACATCTCAAGAGTTACCAAGGACAACCTATAAGTGTGTGTTCGTATATGTCTATGCATACACAGTGTGTGGTTGCGAGAGGGGACCAGGTGTGTTTCTGTGTGTGTGTGAATGAACAGACCAAATCTGTCTAATTCCTGGAGGTCAATCTATTTGATGAACTATTTCTTGCATTCATGATATAATACAGTAAATATGTTATAACTCACTTATTTTAAACACTACTCTGCTAAACAGATCTTAGCAAATACCGTTTAGATTAAAGGTGTCAGGTTCTTTTGTAATGGCTTGTATTTGAGGACATTTATTGGTTTTTGTTGTAGAATAATTCCCCACTGAGTAGAATATGTTTTCGTTTCTATGATCAAAATGCAGTCCCTGAAACCATTCCTGGAAAAGCTCCTGCGCTGGAAAATCCTGTTTATGTGGCATTCATCCCGACAATGTACAGTATGTCTACCTGGCAGCACCAGTGTAGAAAATGTCCATTAGTCCTTTGTTAGCAGAGATGAGGACAGGTTTGCATATGTGTGTGTGTAAACAGACAGACTAATGGATCCAACTGAAATCCAAACACAGGAACTGGCAGGTGATCAATGCTGTTCACTTCTGGAGGGTGAAGTGTGCAGGCCTCTCTTGGCTGGACGGGGGGGGGGGGGGTAGTAGAGAGAATGTGGTATGCAGGGATTGATGGATCAGAAGACTCGAGGCATTCGGGTTAATCCTGAAAAAGAGATGCACATTTCAATGAGGCTTAAAACTTCTTATGGTGAGAGAGAAAATGTCTCCCTTTGACTCCCTTCTCTGGTTTCTGCTTTTGAATTTCTCGTATGAACAACAGCAGTCTCTTCTTCCCTTGTGTGTACCTAGAGGCAACCCATCCACCCTCTTTGCGTCTATTAACTCTCACCTCTTCTCCTTTTAGTGAGTTCAACAGCTTTTTCTCTCACCATAGAATACCAGCTCAATGGTGATGTGTTGTGTAAAAGTAAGATCAGGAATGTAAACGTCTTGATCTCTTTTCTCATGTCTTTCTTGCTCCTTTTTTCCCCGCCCATGCAGAGCGTCAGCTGGCCAACAGTATGACCAGCAGCGGCTCTCTGCCTCCCAGTGTCAGTGGGATCAGTAAGGAGCTGGCAGACGTGCGTCACCTTGTTCAGTTCCCCGAGGAGATCGCCTGCATCCTCACCGAGCAAGAGCAGCAGCTTTACCAGCGGGTGAGAGGACGCAAACACATGTCTGGGAAAAATGTGAGTTTAAATGAGCAGAATTAATAATAAATTCACATTTGTCTGTTTCTTTCTGTAGGTCTTTCCTCTGGACTACCTCTGTTTTCTTACTCGAGACCTGGGCAGTCCCGAGTGTCAAAGCAAGCGCCACCCTAACCTCAAGGCCTCGCTGTCTGTGCCCGCCATGCCTACCCAGAGTGCTCAGCGAAGCAACGCTGTGGAGGACCTGGTGGCACGATTCAATGAGGTGAGGAGACCAGTTTACAGCATTAACACGCATTCAACTAATCATTTAAAAAGTGGCAGATTCATTTCAAGACAAATTGCTAATTGTTTCAGCTGTACTTCAAACCTAACATCCAAATGTTCTTCCCTTTTAATTGTGGAACATTTAAGGGTTTTATAGGCTGTGATTCATCTCTTATTAAAGTCAGCCTACAGTATATCTCACAAGCTCAGTTTTTACTACAGGATTTTAGTGGGATGAGCTCACTTTGGAATCTGTGATACCAATCAGCAAGCTGTGGAGTGACTCCTGAATGGCTTGAATAACTTTTTAAACAAGACCTCATGGAGATGTTATTCATGTTGATGAGAGCACTTCTTAACTATTGGGAACATATTGATAGAAAAACAGTGCGTGAGTGCCCTTTAGGGACCCCCCCCCCCCTTAATGACATCATCAGAGACAGTGGAAATGCGTGTATTGCTATTTGATATAAATGTGAAAGCATAGCAGAGCAGTAATTGTGTTTTCCTTCAGCTGGATTTGCGTTGTGGTATTTGCCTTGCGAGTCATACCAACTTATCAGCTCAAGACTGATGCAGTGTGATGCGTGCACACACACACACACACACACACACACACCACACACACACACACACACACACACACACACACACACACACACACACACACACACACACACACACACACACACACTCACACACTCACAGAGGTGTACTGTAAGTTGGCTGAAGTTACTCTCTGGGGCATTGTGTCTTTTATGGTGAGTGACTTTGAGAATAAACAACCACAACATTGCACTGCCGAGAAAGAGAAAGCGAGACAGGGCGAGATTGATCGGTAATTATGATGTCATCTTTAGGTTGCATGCCTCTCACATCAGCTGGTTTTCATTTAAGTCAGCGAGAGGAGAGACACAAAAAAAATCAAAGGCGCATTGTAGCCATATATGGGCACAATGGAACAAGAGTCAAATGACAACAGCAATTCTCCCTTTGAAGACCCCGATGAAGCTGGCTTTAAATTGGGAATCTCTCCAAAGAAGATGAGATAGTGTCGAGGCGTCCGTCTTGTACCATGACTCACTGTGGTCAGTGTTAGGCCAAATATTTACAAAAAATGTGTTAAGCATCTTGCAACTTTTTGAATGAACTGTTATATATTCACCGGATCTCCCTGCTTTTATTCTTTGACAACTTGTATTATTGGCAGCATTAACAACACAGCTGAACCGTTATTTAACACAAAAAAAGTTGAACATTTATTTCGTTTTTAAGCCATTTTTTAACCAAAAAAGCAAAATATTTTGATAACATATTTGAATTATTTTAGCCTTGTTTGTTGTAGTTTTTTTGCCTTTTTGTTGAACTTTGTTGAACTTAATGAAAATAGTTAAGTTGAAGCCTTTGTAATGGTTACTTATTCTTTACTAGGCTTCGGTCTCCTTTTTTATTAATTCATTCCCAACAAGAGATATTCTCTACAGTATAGATGACTTAATTGGGTTTCACGGTTTTAAGCTTTTACATGTTTAACTTTTAAGGGATTTGACTGACAACATTTATATTCATAGATAACATTTTAATCTTGTCCATTTTTAATCTGTGTATGGGAGTGAGTGATTGTAGTAAGCAGGGTGGAAAGCATGGCAGGAGAACATTTGGAGTCAGGGAGGAGTGAGAAGTTTGGGCCCCTGTCTCAAGTGTTTAGCTCTGACAGGACCACTATGTGTTCATGTGTTGACTTTGTCATAGCTCTCTGTCAACCTTGGTTCTGTAATCATGTATCAAGGATAAACTGACCCTCATAGTTCAACTAATAACACACACACACACACACACACACACACACACACACACACAGATGGAGACAGCCAGACGGACAAACAGATGGACACATATACAGACATCAAAGGGGGGATCAGTTCGTACCTAGCTCCGGTTCTCTCTCTCTCTCTCTCTCTCTCTGTGTGTGTGTGTGTGTGTGTGTGTGTGTGTGTGTGTGTGTGTGTGTGTGTGTGTGTGTGTGTGTGTGTGTGTGTGTGTGTGTTGTGTGTGTGTGTGGTGTGTGTGTGTGTGTGTGTGTGTGTGTGTGTGTGTGTGTGTGTGTGTGTGTGTGTGTGTGTGTGTGTGTGTGTGTGTGTGTGTGTGTGTGTGTGTGTGTGTGTGTGCTGTGTGTGTGTGTGTGTGTGTGTGTGTGTGTGTGTGGTGTGTGTGTGTGTGTGTGTGTGTGTGTGTGTGTGTGTGTGTGTGTGTGTGTGAAATGTTATCAAGCTGCTTTGATAACACACTGTACATTTTGCCCAACTTGAGTGTGTTTTACTGTGTTCCTCCTGTCTGTTCTCATCTCTTGCTCTTTCCTGCTCTTCAGTGCCATTACACGCTCTCTCTCTATATATCTCTTCATATCCTGTCTATTATCTCTCGCACACAACACTGAGCACACACTTTTGCTATCTGGAATATCAGAAGAGATGCCAACTCTGTAAAATGCCTTGATCCGTGGCGCTTCAAAAAGCCACTTTGCAGACGGTCAGAGTGGTTCAAATGGTGACTGTAATTCAACCCAGGCGCTGACAAGGCTGCGCTTTATGTCATAATGCTAGAAGTGACTGATAGCACATTTTCACGTAGGGCGCGCACATCCTGGCATGCACAGAGCAGATACAGTGAGATAGTGTTGGGCGGCAGGGTTGTTTGTCAGTAAGCCATGTACTGTAAATTCTAATACAACTGAAACATAATGGAGTAAGACTCTAAATCCTCGAGTACATGTGTTATCTCACACTCAAACATCAACAATTCCATGCAATAATGATAAAATAATATGATAAAATAGGAAGCTTCAGCTGAAAAGCCTGTTGTTTTCTTAACAATAACATTTCAAACTTGTTTCATTCTAGTGTGACTGAACTACCTAATCAAGGTTCAAGGTTCTTTATTGTCAATCTGACATAGCTACAGAGTAATTATGCAGTTGAAAATCTTATGTCACAGGCTCATATCATATTCATGTTTTCTATTTGAGTGAAGGAAGATATTACATTGGTGAGTTATCTCTTTGAGGAAGATTACATTTTCTCAGTCACCCTCTGCCTAAACCATACAGGATTGCATAAACTGGTGTGCTTTTGCTCGTATTGGATAAGGGGGAAAAAGCAAGACTTAACAAACCATACCACTATTAACATAAAATAGTTAGACAAATACAGTATAGCCCATGTTGTGTACACGGGCAGGGGGTTTGGTTGCATGTGTGATGTATGATTTCTGTGTTTGCTTATAAATGAATAGATATTGAGGACAGAGGTGACGGGGGCAAACAAAAAAAATGACAAGCTCAGACAAAAACTCTATGTGAGAAACTGAGTACTATGTTACATGTTTGTGTGGCTTTATTTAGTCCCTGTGTAGTCAGACTGTGGTGGGCTTTACAGACCCTTACATAACCCAGTAATAGATCTCTAGGCCAGGGGGATGTGTTCACCGCCTGCAAGGCAAGAGGGGTTAGAGAGATTCAGTGTGTGTGTGTGTGCATTTATGTGCAGGTGTGAATACATTCATGAGTCTTTAACAACATAGAGACACAGACACTAGAGAGCAAGAGTCAGCAAAACTGAAATCTGATCTTTTTCTGTGTTGTGTGTGCCTGCGTGTTGCAGAGAATGTTAAAGGAAGCTGACCCTGATACATATCTGGCTCTTCCATCGTAGTTTCTGCACGTGTTTGAGAGCAGTCAGCGGGTACAGCTGACACATATCTGATCGCAATTCTTTGTGTGTGTGTGTGTGTGTGTGTGTGTGTGTGTGTGTGTGTGTGTGTGTGTGTGTGTGTGTGTGTGTGTGTGTGTGTGTGTGTGTGTGTGTGTGTGTGTGTGTGTGTGTGTGTGTGTGTGTGTGTGTGTGTGTGTGTGTGTGTGTGTGTGTGTGTGTGTGTGTGTGTGTGTGTGTGTGTGTGTGTGTGTGTGTGTGTGTGTGTGTGTGTGTGTGTGTGTGTTGTGGTGTGTGTGTGTGTGTGTGTGTGTGACTTTAAAAGAGAGGATTCATGCAAAAATAAGACCACACACAATAAAGAGTTTATGCAAGCGTCCACTATTAATTGCATATGCTTAAATATATACAATTATTTTCATGTAGCTAGCAGAATTTTCATCATGAGAGAGGGCGAAGTTAGTTAGTTTAAAAATGTTTAACAATTTGTCGCAAATTAGCCACATTGTTATCATCGATTAAGTTGAATAATTATTCACCCATTCATGCAAAAAATGTCAGAAGATGCTGTTTTTTTAGATTCTCAAATATGGAGATTTCCAGCTTTTCCTTGTTTTATATAATAATAAACTCAATATTACAACACATTTCAGATTGCTTTTTAGACCATGGATCAATCAAGAAAGTAATCAGCGAATTTTTGGTAATGAAAGTGTTAGTGGGCTGAAACTGTATGTTGAACTCTTTATCACCAGGTGAGTTCATGGGTGACGTGGCTGATCCTGACTGCTGGGTCTATGGAGGAGAAGAGAGAAGTGTTCTCCTACCTGGTCCATGTCGCTAAATGCTGCTGGAACATGGGAAACTACAACGGTGTCATGGAGTTTCTGGCTGGACTCAGGTGCAAAAGCACACACGAAAACACTCAATTATGTACACAGTGATTAATGTTCCGAATCTTTTTGTTCTTTTTCTGTTTTTTTTAAAACCTGATCACGCAAAATATCCCATTTGACCAACAGAGATTTTCTTTATCCTCCAGGTCCCGCAAAGTGCTGAAGATGTGGCAGTTTATGGATCAGTCAGACATCGAGACCATGAGGAGCCTGAAGGACGCCATGGCTCAGCACGAGTCTTCTGCTGAGTACAAAAAGGTTGTGACCAGAGCCCTCAATATCCCAGGATGCAAGGTGGGTTGTTGTTTTTAAAGGTTTGATTTGGAGTGATAAGGTCAATAAAAAAACTGTTGATTTTTTATTACAATAGAAGATACAAAAACAAAACAATCGATTAAAAGGAGGTACTCGTCCGCAGCCTGGGAATCTAATGGTGTAATTTGTAATGTGTCACTTTGGTAGTTCACATTATTTCTTACTTGGAATGTGTTTTTTTTCTTCTGTCCTGTCCTGACCATAGGTGGTGCCATTCTGTGGGGTTTTTCTGAAGGAGCTGAGTGACGCGTTGGATGGGACAGCAAGCATCATCAGCCTGAAACCACCTGTGGATAATACAGAGGACTCGATAGAGGTGCAGCAAACACTCACACGCATTAACAAACACATGTACATGCATCTCATATTACTGACTTATGCACTAATAATCAGACTTCATATTTCAATTCCATCTGCTTTCATTTGTGTTTAGTTTGTGTCTGACTTCAGCGGCCAGCACAACTTCATGTCGCGGTCAGGTCCTGATGGACTACACATCCCAGAGAAAGAAGCCACTGTCAGCAACATCCTCCAGATTATCAGGTAAAAGCACATACTTACGACTACGGAGTGAAAGCAAAACAAGTGTCTGTCTTCGTCACTTCCCACTTTTTGTTCCACTTTACCCTACTGGCTGTTTTGCTTTGTTCTCAAATTATTCTTCACTTTATTCTCCTTTGACTCTCCTCTTGCTTTACCCCCAGATCCTGTAATCGTAGTTTGGAGGCAGAGGATCCTGATGATGCTTCCACCAGTCCTTCGTCTACTGGCCAATCCCCTACGTCCAGAAACAACTCCTTCAGGGACCGCTGCCGCAATCAGTCAGTACCTCCATTTCCATATTTTCTATATTTTCTTTACCAAAAAGATAGAGTTTTTTCAGTGAGCAGCATCAGGGTCTGCACAACGACTCTCTAGACGAAAGAGTCCTGCTTACCACCCTAGAAAGGTGCAGTATTAAATAAGCGTATGAGATATACAGTACAGTATCAGATGGCACATAGCATTTGATTTAATCCATCAAGAAACCGCAACATTGTCTATCTTTGATTGGTTACTGCTGCAGTAGCTTTCACTTTTTGTTTACGGCTGTTTTACTGTATTTCCTGTTCTCGCTTCTTGTTATGATAAACAGATGGTGTGTCGAGCACATATTTATTTATTCATGTATTGTGCTTAAAGAACCCCAAATGTTCTTTTTTTCATACTTATATATTGCTTTATATGCTTATTGGGAAAAAAAGGCAAACCACTCCTTTAAGGCAGACTGGAGAGGTTGTATTGTTTTGCTCGATGACCCTTCCTGCCAAAGTTCAATTTGTCAAAATGTCGTTTATTTTCTTCTTCCTGTTCTTTTACAGACAAGGGCTTAAAGACAAAGTAAAATATGGTCCGTCATATATAGATTTATATCTGAACTATAAACACTGCTGAGCTGTGTAACTGTTCCGGTGTCTGAAGTTTCTGAAAAGGCTTTTGTGGACATCCAACCAATGGAGTCCCTTTCAGAATAAATAAGGCAGCTGCTGCAAAAATGATTATCATAAGACTAAGAGTTGCATTTTTAGAAGCTGTAAATATATTGAAACATTTGTATTTGATTAACTAAACAACTTGATGCTGATTCAGGGCTTAGAAATATGTGGTCTGTAGGGCATGTTCCTTTTGTTTCAAGATAATGAGCTTATGAAAAACACTTGTGCAGATTGTTATTGAGATGAGGAGATGTTCACATAAACTCCTGTGCCACAGAGATACAAGATAACAGGTTCGTTTCCTGTCAGAGCAGGAAGCAACTGAGCTCTGGTACTTTTCAGCACACTGGTGGCAGGTAGCTCATGACACAAGCTGGAATTTGGACACTAACTTACAATGTTGTTGAAGACTCATTTCATTTCAAGCTAGGCCTGCACTGTTTGTGTTATGGGAACCTGGATTATCTTCTCTGTGTTTCTGGACAGTTTTCTCTGACTCTGAGTTATTAGTTCACATTAGAGCTCAGGATAACAACTCTTATTCCATTTTGGCTTGGTGTATTGAGTTCATTTGTCTTGGATACAGATAATCTTTCTTACTCGGAGATGTTTCGGAATTATTTTCATGTGTTTCTGATCTTTCCCTCTTGCATCCTCTTGTTGCTCTATTTCTTTTCACTTCTGTGTACTGAACTTGTTTCACTCTTTGTTGTCTCACACTCCCCTTCTTGCTTCTTTGTCCCCTTTTCCTATTCTAGTTCCCATTCTTTTAGGACACCGTCAGAATCAAACCATGTCTTGTAAGTGGTTATAAATGTGTCAGGATTTTCATTACGCTGCCTAACATTAACATGGTTAAAGTTGCTGTTTGACTGGAAACGTGTTAAGTAATCAAGGAATGTGCAATGACAAATGCATGATGCATGATACTCAACTGATGCACTACAGTACAGGATACATTTCCGTGTCTTACTGTAGATGCAGCTCAATTCTTTCTTTTGACTAGACCGTAACTAATTTTTTTTAAGACATACTACTTTACCTCACCAAGTGAAGTAGTTGAAATTAAAACAAGAAACGTATTTACAGATTTCTGTGAAATAAATAAAATACAATTTGTAGTTTTTAGATGTAGTTTCATAATCCTAAACTGCCTCTCTGCTCTTGTAACCCAACTTCTACCCATCTCTAGATTCATGGTGGGGGATTTGTCCGATTCGGAGGGGGACTTGTCGTCTGAGCCGGGGGTGAAGGAAGTGGAGTTTCAGGGGACTGAGGAGACGCACAGAGCCTTCAGCCATGGCACTGAGCTCATTCCCTGGTAAGAAACACACACACTTAAACCCCAACACACACACATATAAAGCTCAACAGACACTCCACGCTTATTGTATTCTCCATTCCTCAGGTACGTGTTGTCGCTGCAGCCAGACGTCCACCAGTTTCTGCTGCAGGGGGCCACGGTCATCCACTACGACCAGGAGAGCCACCTCACTGCTCGCTGCCTGCTGCGGCTACAGCCCGACAACACAACACTCACCTGGGGTAAGTTATGACAGTGTCATTAAAAAAAAATCACTACATAATTCAAAAGACATGGGTTTCCCCTGAGATTGGAACAGCTTGTTAGCCATTATTCAGACTCATCGTTCAGATATGTCAAAAATATACAAGTTTACTTTTTAACAGCTTTGAGAAAATGTAAAGAAAGTCTATGAAACATTTTAGTTTAACTTACAACCTTGTTGTCTGGGGTTTGTATTTTCCAGACTGTTGTTATATTTTCAAATATAACCCTCTCATTTATTTTCCAGCAGTGAGAGGGTTAAAGTTTGTTATTTATAAAGGATTATTTACACGAAACGTTTGATTTTATTGACTTCAATTAGTTAATAAGTTAGTTGGTTAGTTAGTTAGTTAGTTAATTGACATGAAATTGAACTGCTTTGTAACAAAAATTCCCTAATTGGGATTAATAAAGTTATCTTATCTTATTATCTTATCTTGTCATCTGTACAAGTTGAGATGTCTGTATGTTTGTTTGTTTGTAGCCTTCATTTAACCAGGTTAAAAAATCCCATTGAGATCAACGATCTCTTTTTCATGTGTGTTTATATCTCAGAGACAAGCCCACTTTCCTTTCACATTATTACTCTTTAAACACATGGAAAACAGGCGTCTATTTCATATTTCCTGTGTCATTATTATATTTTAAACATCCTTTATATGTGTTTATACTCTGTAATTGAGCCCTATGTCTTTTGTAACATGTACAATTTAAACAGGTTGTAAATATCGCTTCCTATGGCTTAACTACATTTCAAACATATTGTAAATGTTTTGATTTATGACAGGTAATCCTCAGAGCGGAGGGGCTTCCCCTGCAGAGCAGCCACTGGGATTAGGACAGTCTGTAGTGGCAGGACTAGCAGAGGGCCTCTTGGACCTGGCAGTTGTGAAGGTTTGTTGAAAAATGTAGAAAATATTGATCTGGTATTTAGGCTGCATCTTTGGCCTGTAGAACCGTTATTTCTTTAGTAAAAAAAACTACACAATATGTCTTGAACCACTTCCTTAACTTTGTCTATTTCAATGTACAGGCCGTGTTCATGGGTCATCAGGGAGTGGACGTCCATGCAGTATGTTTGCAAAACAAGCTAAGCCAGATGACGGTGGAGGAAAATGGTCTCAGCCTCCTTTACGGTCTCAGTACCACCGACAACAGGTTAGTTCCTTGATACCTCTTTCTTAAAGCTTGTGCATTGCTACACTAGTACTTAAAAACACCTTGCTGTTTACTAAATATTTCACGTTATCTCCTAACTCCTGCCACCAGGCTCCTGCACTTTGTGGCCCCCAACCACACTGCAAGGATGCTCCACAAGGGCCTGACAGAGTTGGTGAATGCAACCAGAAGATTAAAGAAGTTTCCTGACCAGAGGTTGCAGTGGCTGAGGAAGCAGTATGTCAGCATGTATCAGGTACACTTAACATTTCTGTTCTTGTACACGCCCCTTTATTTCCACCATTATTGTGAATTAAAAGCATTGAGTGAAGTCGTTTTTTTTCTTTTTTTGTTCTGAAATGCTCCCCTCCATATAACCCTCTGTGTGTCCGTCTCTGTTAGGAGGACGGCAGGTACGAAGGCCCTACCCTGGCTCATGCCATTGAGCTGTTTGGAGGGCGGAGGTGGAACATGGGTACAGGCGGAGTGGAAAAACCCAGCGTCCAGAAAAACAGCCCTAATGATAAAGCCAAGAAGAAGAAGAAGGTCCTTGTCAGGGTCAGTATATGAACAAGTTAAATAAAGCTTGAGGTACAATGTATTCCCTGTGCACTCACACTTATGTAATTTCTAATACTGAATAGTTCCCTGTTTTTAACATAAATTGTGTTTACACACCCGACACAGGGAGACAGTGGGGATGCCACGGATGACGAGATGGTTTCCAGGAAGACACGGAGCTGTAAAGAGGGACTGTATCGGAACGGGCCGGAGTCTGACAGCATCGACCAAGAAGATCCAGGTGACCCTTTACACATCTATTTCAATTCAAACAAAGATTAAAAAATATGTAGATGTATCCGAAGCAAAGGCATTATATCGTTAAAAATCCAAAGACTACACACTTTATTGTCTGTATGATTCTTATTTACCCTATGTCCTCTTTGCCTCTGTAGAGGACAGCTTCCCTGGACCATTCTCCCTCTCATCCAGTAAAAGCCCTGGATTGCTTGGATCTTCTTCTTCCTCTTCCTCGTCTTCCTCCAGTATGGCGGGGTCCAACCATTCCCGCCCACAGTCCTCTCCTGTCCTCTCTGGAACTGTCAAGCAACAGCCAGGGTACGTACCGTATTGTATACAAAGACTGGAGTGGAAGTGGAAGACTTGAAGTTTGGATTCTCATCCCTTTGTGTTTCCCTTGGGATTTTTTTTCCATTTCCTCGGCTTGTAGGGCGTGGAGCAGCAGGTCATGGCACGGTCGTGGTAAAGGCTGTTTTAAAGGCTTCCAGAATCTCATGATTTCTGACAGCACCATGAGCTTCATCGAGTTTGTCGAGCTCTTCAAGTCTTTCAGGTATTGACCACATATTATCCTCCCACAAATTGTTTCGTTGTTTTTCACATTGTTGTTGCACTGTATCAGCTGCGGAGGAAGATACTGCCCCTAAAACAGATATTCAAACACATTTTCCTGGTTACATATGTCATATTTTGACATTCAGTAAAGGCCTGTAGCATATATGTATGTATATTGTACATGTTCTGTTCTCTCCTGCTATCTCTCTCCCTCTGGTTGTATAACTGCAGTGTTGTTATCAATAGCAGCTAAAGACATTAGATAACATTCAATAAATGCTTTTCAGGGTTATCAGACGTAGGACATTCTTCTGCGTAAAATATTTAGCTTCTATAACTTTTTTCCCTGTCAAATCAAAGGAAACAATGTTTTCTTTGATAAGCAATGGATTATTCACATACCAGTCCTCCTGCTTTTCTTAGATTGTCAGGTACACTCTCATCCACTGCCCAGCAGTTTCCGCTTAAATTCCCCACTTGCTCAGCTAAAGCAATGCTGAGAAAATGGAAGTACAATACTTCAGCAAAGCAGCCTCTTAAAATATCCTGCTTATTTGAGATGTATTATTCTTTAGCCATTTGACCATTGTCTGCAAAGGTGATAGTTGAAAACCCTTTAGAATCTCTGTTTAGCAATAGCAAGGAGCATACAAAGTACAGCAAAACCAAATATTACAAATGGAGGATATTTCTCACACAAAAGTTGATTAATGTGACTTTTTATTTGGCCTTGAAAAGAAATGTAGATCAAACTTGATCCAATGTGTGAGTGCTCTGTAGAGAAAATACTTACTGTCTATTGTAAAAAAAATGATTTGTCTGCTTATCTTACACAAATGCTGCTGCTCATCTGTTTCGTAGGAAATTGGAATACAAATCCTAAAATAAACTGCTTGTCAGTTTTAGGTGGATAATAATCTTGGACTATAATCTGCTATGTGCTGTTTCCTCCACAGTATCCGAAGCAGGAAGGACTTGAAGGAGCTGTTTGACACCTTCGCTGTCCCCTGCAGTCGATCAACTCCAGAGTCTGCGCCTCTCTACACCAACCTCAGCATCGACGATAAAGACACGGGGCTACAGCCAGACCTCGGTAAAAACACTTCATTTATGTAGTCTAATCAGTCAATAACGTCTGCCAAACACCACTTTTTAACTTATTTTTCTCTTGGTCTTTTCCAGACTTATTAACCCGCAATGGCTCTGACCTTGGCCTGTTTATCCGGACGAGGCAGCAGATGTCTGACAACCAGAGGCAGATCTCAGACGCCATCGCAGCCGCCAGCATCGTGACCAACGGGACGGGAGTGGAAAATGCTTCACTGGGCGTCTTGGGATTGGCTATCCCTCAGCTCAACGACTTCCTAGTGAACTGTCAGAGGGAGCACTTGAGCTACGACGAGATTCTCAGCATTATACAGGTAGAGCCTGGAAGAAAGGGTTGAGAAAGTGCAAGGAAAGCACTTATAAAAATCTATTTGACTAAAACATGAGGGAGACATGAAAGCATTATACTGTAGTTAGGGACTGAGAGAAAGATGAGAGAAATGCCTGATGTAGATGTGTGATGTTTACAAGATGGATAAATGGATTACGGTTGAATGAAACCTCAGAAAAAAGGAAGGAGAGGGTAATGTTGATCAATAATGGTAATTAAGGATTTTATGTTTTTCTCTTGCAGAGATTTGAGCCCTCATTGAGCATGAGACAAATGGGTTGGATGTCGTTTGAAGGCTTTGCAAGGTATAGAAAAAACGACATTTATAGTTTAGAAGTTTATAGTAGCATTATGTTTTTTTGTGTCAAACAATCCCATCCTCCATTCCAGGTTCCTGATGGATAAGGAGAACTGTGCTTCTCGTATTGAGGAATCCCAGGTGAACCCAGAGGAGCTGCAGTACCCTTTGTCCTACTACTACATCGAGTCTTCTCATAACACCTATCTGACCGGACACCAGCTCAAAGGAGAGTCCTCTGTTGAGCTTTACAGTCAGGTAAGTTAGCCTTTCACATATTAAAGCCATATCTTAAATTGTTATTCTTAATTATTCTTACATTTTGACCCATAACTCCTATTTTTCACGTTTGTTTCTTATCAATTACTGCAATCTTTCACCAGGTGCTGCTGCAAGGCTGTAGGAGCGTCGAGTTGGACTGCTGGGATGGAGATGATGGCATGCCAGTTATTTATCATGGACACACACTCACCACTAAAATACCCTTCAAGGTAAGAAATGCATTTGAATAATTCAATAGAGAAACAAGATCTAGAAGAAAAGAACAATTAATCACCGGCTCTTTTTGCTTTCCGATACTTGGCAAAATGTATCACCACGGAGCAATTTAGCCAAACACAATTGCAACGCTGTATGATGTATTTATACAAAGGTAATTAATAAAAACAAATCTACTGACCTTAGTTCATCAGCTGCTTGCTCTTGTGGAAAATACTAGTAACCATATTTTTCCAAACCCGAGTTCTTAAACAACTGTAAGTTATTTGAATGTTTTATCTAAATGTTTTTAGTAAATCCCATTAGTAGTTTCCATAGAGCTTCATTGTCTTATATTTGATTTTGATTGCTGTTTCTGAGAATACAATTTCTTCTATGATATTGCAGGATGTGGTGGAAGCAGTAAACCGGTCTGCATTTGTCAATTCGGACATGCCCGTCATCCTGTCCATAGAGAACCACTGCTCCCTTCCACAGCAACGCAAGATGGCTGAAATCTTCAAGGTATGACAGCACCCAAACCTAAACTCTAGATAGATTCTTTAGTAGGTCCACATGCTCAATTTCAACAAGACCATGCTTTATATTCAAGGAATTACATGCACCTACCAGTTTCTGGCCCAACCACACTTGAGTAACGGTAGAAAATTATTTATATTTATATTATAAAACATATTTTCCCTAGCCAGAGGCTTGCTTTGATCAAATTCAGGCTGAAAACTGTGCCTTTCTTTGTTGTTTACTCACCCGCAAAAATCTGGGCATGACGGAGACATCATGAAACATCATCGTGCTTTCATCTGACAAAACTTCCCAGCCTCCTTTCCTCCCTGGAGGCTGACTTCTGAGTGGCTTGATACAAAAAAAAGAGTCTTTCATGATGAGACAGCTTTGTGCCTCTGGCCAACTTACATCCACTTGAACTTGTTTATTTGGAATCTTATTTGTGTTGATAAAATCACTTCTTCACTACTTCTATCGCTTTGCATTATGTTCTGGTCTGTTCTGCATATCATTTCACATCATTTATTCACTGTGTGTCCATCACGTTTCAATATTTACCTTCAGACGGTGATTGGGGAACGCCTTGTGACTCGCTTCCTCTTTGAGAGTGATTTCAACGATGACCCTCACCTGCCGTCTCCTCTGCAGCTGCGGGGGAGAATCCTCCTGAAGAACAAGAAGCTCAAAGCACACCAGGCGCCGGTGGACATACTCAAACAGAAGGTCAAGAAGGAAGAAGGCTTCCTGTCCACACATACATAAACATGTACATTATTTATAGTTGGCAGGTCGCATTAGTACATTCAATATACAGCAGTGTTGATTAGAGTGCTGTCACATAAATAATAGATGCTAATGTGCTCCAATGCACACCTCCTGCACACCATTTTCACTCAGTTTACCTAAGATAATGTTCTTCCGTATACAGTATATGCAGTAAAGATTATCTTTATTTAAATCCCAGATGATGTGTAGATGTAGATCAAATGTGAGCTACAGGTATATCAGTGTAAATATTATTCTCCCTCAAAATGATTTACATGCACTTATTATCACTTTGCAGCACTTTCTGTTTTTTTAAAACAACATTTGAACCCTTTTACAGGCTCACCAGCTGGCCCACATGCAGGCACAGGCTAGCAACGGGTCACCAGGGGTTACTTCACCTAACAACCACACCAATGAGGAAGAGGAAGAGGAAGAAGACGAGTACGACTACGACTATGAGTCTCTATCAGATGGTAAGGAGAACTGGGATGGGGTGTGAGCCCTGGAGACAAAACTTCAGAAGCACACAAACGTCACCGATATTTGTTTTCAATGGATTCTAGGGCTGAAATGAGTCATACATGAAATGTAGATTAATATGAAGTAACCTTTGAATCAGATTCTGTTCTCACTTTTATTCTGTCTCTTTTTCGAACACCTTCTTTACGTTGATACTCCCTTCATTTCATAATTGATCTTACCTGTTTTCCACTTAGCTGATGTCCTCACAGCCTCTACTGCCTCGTATAGTCTGGAAGGTAAACGCACGGCTCTGATGCGCCTCTCGATGTACCGGTGTTTCCATCAAATGTTGTTTTGTGCTGGTAGTTGCTGGTGTTTCCCTAATGTATTTCGTTCTGTAAGAAATTTGAAATATCTTGGTAACATTTGTATTAGTACTTGAAATGTACTTTATAAAATGCTACATTTAGATTTTCGTTTCTGCAATTAAGTTGTACAGAGAAATTATAGTTTATTGTTAGAAATGTATTGCTGTGGTTTCTACCACTGCAGAATAACTACAGAGGAAACACTGGTACGTGGATGTGCCCTCGTGATTTGCATCATTGCTATACACTGACTCCTGTATGTGCCTTCAAACTGTAACAGCTGCTAGCTTTCTGCTGTTTGTCAACGTCAAGTTATGTTTTGCTGCACCGCAGCCATCTGTTGTGCATGGTAAGCAGCAATTAAGATGACATGGTGAATTGTATGTGAAACTTAGTGATACCTTCAATTTCGTTCTAATCTATTTATTGGTAAACAAAAGGTATGAAGTTGTATTTTAGTTTTTTAATTGTAAATTCAAAGAAATACAGAAGTAGGCCAAAGGGACATAGATGGAGAAGATTTTGAAAGTTGTGTTTGACGGTTTAATATTTAATTAGTGTGAGTTTCAACTACTGACCTCTGTTACAAGACATCTTCCCTCATTCTCCAATGTAGCTAAACAAATATAGACAACTGTGTTTTTTACTAAGACCACTACTACTACTAATCACTTCATTCATAATCATATAATATTCACAATAGAAGGCTGTCAAAGCACATTTATTGCTGCTAAATCGCTAACAGTGGATGGTTCACGACATTAAGTATGCTGTACCATAATTGTGTTATTGCAATAATACAAAACGCACCCTGCATTTTGTTTTCTTACAGTATGTTTTTTAACATTCTGTTTTAAGAGCAGGCTAGAGCATATCTGCAATAACCTTAAGGAATTATTTAGAAAACTCTGATTTAGTGCATTAAGGGTAAGGGTAGGACCTCACAGTCTGCTTCTAAATTGAATGAAAAATATGTAATTATGAATGAAACTAAATTATTGCCATGTGTAGAAAAATGTTTATTTATATCAGGCATTGTCAGTAAGATTCCTCTTTCTCCCTTCCTCCTTCCCGCCATACTATATTTTGTCAGTGACCTCGCTAGAAGCTGGGCAGGCTCATCATGAAAACAAAACAAAGCCATCTGGTTTCTCAGGCCCTACGCTGCCCCCGCACTAAACAACAGACCAGGGGAAACTACCCTATCCTGGGTCGCAGTCCCACCACTGCTCCCTCCTATCCCTGCCCTCTGCTTGTCCCTGTCGGAAGAACTTAATGGCCAAAGACCTTTTTAAAAAAAAAAAAAAAAACATTTATATTTTTAAACCTCATTGAGTGGCTAAATTTCAATACTTCCATTTTTTGTCAGTGAAATATTAACCATGATTTAATACACTCCACCATTGACAGTCTCCATGTGACCCTACATGCTTGTACTTAACATCAGCTGGCCCTGTAAACACAGATATTTGAGCTTTAAACTGCCAAGTCGCCACCGTCAATTGTTTAGCGGTAACTCCCTCCAGGCACAGTCTGGGCCAACTCACTTCTCTGGCTTCTGTCTTCAGGGTGACATCCAGGGTCAGCTCCAGATTCCAAATGCCAGGAATTAAACACGTTTTCTGTGATAAAGAGCATCTGCATTTTCAAGCTGATATGTTCCTCGCTGTGTTTTTGGCTGTGGTAAATGTGTAGGAGGAAATGGGAGCAAAGGGAAGAACTCCCTCCTGTTGCTGCTGTTTACAGTTGCTAGACTTTGCTTTGAATATCAACGAGGAGGAGCCTTCAGGGGGCTTTTGCTTGGGATCCTGCTCATGTGCTCTGAAAGTAGTTTACTCGTTATAATTATTCTGTAATCATCCTCTTCTGCAGTCATCTAAAAGGCATAACTAATAGCTGAATTAAACGCTGAGCCATTGTACATTACTATAATTAATTGCATCTGCATTCACACCAACAAACATGCTTAACATGCTTGTGGTTTCATTCAGTCGTCATCCTGTAAATTAGACTGTGTTATTGTAGAGTATATACAACTCATTTCCAATTAAGCATCAATCACCATGGTTAAATGCTAAATCGAATGCACAAGAAGCTTTACGCTGTAGTTAACTCTAGTGGCCTATAAAAGCTCTGACTGTATTTACAAAACCCAAAACTCATTACATAAAAAGTAAGCATTTGTTTTTACAAGAAGTAACATTCCTGCAAGCTGAATTTACATTTTCTGACATATGCCTTACTGGTGATTCAGCATTGAATATATCAACAGCATCTTGGACACAAATACATTTTCAATCAGGCTTGATCTTAGTTAGGCCAGTTTTTGCCTCTAGGCTAGTTTTTTCCCCACTATCCTGGATCAAATGTTCTCTACTAATGAACATAGGCCAATACAAATGTGGATTGGAGATGGTGTGCAGGAATAAGAAATATGTTTGACCTTAAAGGTGGGGTAGGTAATTTTGGAGAAACCAGCTCGAGTGCGCTAGAATTTGAAAATACACAACCGGAACAAATCTGCCACTTCCTTACAGAGCCCCTCCTCCAACACACACGAACGCGCACATGACCAATGAGGGCACGAGATAAGTTTTGTGCACAGATGGAAGGCTGACAGGCAGGTAGGCCATCCAGTTATTGATTGGTCGTGCTTTTTACAGTATTACGGCTTCCACAGATGACATTTTGTTATGGATTTTTTGTCAAAGCACTTAAGATATTCATTGCTATCGGGATGTTAAGAGCATTCCATGGAATATAACAAAAAGTGTATCTCGAGCCGGTTTCTCAAACTTACCGACCCCACCTTTAAAGAGAGGTGTATTTGGGGGCATGCCTGCTTGATTTGCAAGAACCTCAACTAGTCACACCGAGCGTTTCCTGTTTATAAGCAGGCGGTTGCATCCAGGTTTTCTCAGCACTATGAGTGTACTACAGCTTTAAGGTTTTGCAGTTTGTGCATTGTTCAAAACCATGCCAATGCTAACTCGTGCTGCATATAAATCTGTTTGTTTATGACATTTGCTTTACTCGTTGAACGTTCCCGGAGGATGTGTGCTCTCCATTCTGCTGCACTCACACTTATTAACACTTCTATCATTCATTTTGTTTCCTTAACAGACAACATCCTGGATGACAAACCAGAGGGGAAGAGCCCAGCAGACAAAGAGGAGCAACCTGTTGATGAAATACCGAAGAGGACGAAGAAGTCTGAGAGCACCACGCAGAGCAAAGGAAAGGTAAGATGCCCATTTCCTAGCTACTAGCTGTATAAGTGTGGCATTTGCTCCTGTCGTACATCACTGCCTCCTCAAGTTCAATGTTAACTGTGTTGTCCATGCCCTGTGTCTCCTGCACCTGTAGGTGTTTGACATGGAGCTTGGCGAGGAGTTTTACCTTCCTCAGAACAAGAAGGAGAGTCGACAGATTGCCCAGGAGCTGTCCGACCTCATCATCTACTGCCAGGCTGTGAAATTCCCTGGTACAGAAAATGTCCTCATACTGTCCTCACTGCTCTTTTCTTCCTCAACCTTTTATCATAGCACTTTTTGAGTGTTATACTGTGTCTTCCCTCTCTTTTCCTTTTCTCTTGCTATCATGTTTAATATAACCTTTTTGTCTTGTCCCAGTCTAATCCATTCCCATGTTATATTTAAGAGGTCAAACCTTTCCGCATGTTTTAATTTTTCTTTTCATTGGAAGACATTTAATATGTCTCCATTCCTCTCCCACGATGGACACCCACAGAGATGACGAACCCCCTTTTTCCCCGGGGGGGGAAAGATACGGTTACTTCACTGGTCTGTCAGTCCCAGAGCGGCACAGCAAACAGCACAGTTGTTGTCTATTAAGGAAATGTCTTTGGGATGTTCTTCTTCAGTTAGTCTCCCAGGTTCACATTTGACTAAGAGTTTCTGGTACTTCCCACTTCCTTCAGCTTGAACTGGTTAAAATCTGTTGAACTTTTTGCCCCTTAAATATCAACCTCTTATCTCTTTCCTCCCTCATCTTTCCTCCCTGCTTGTCTCCTCTTTACTTTACATGACATTTGCCCTTATAAACGTGGCTGTGTTTCCACTGGTATTTTATTTGTTTACTGTTTCTAGGGACCTGAGATCTGAGAGGAGACAGGGCAAGCAGCCCAATTCTTTAAGGGCTGCACATTTGTTGTTGCTTTCCGCTGTCTGACAGACATGCTACTTGTCTACAAGCATTTATACAATCCTAAAATGTACTTAAGATTCACAAAATGCATGACACATTTCTTACCTCATATATTTTGTTGAAAAGAAGAAAAAAGATCTGGCACCAAATAATAAAGAGCTCATGATTCATAGTTTTTAAATGTGTTACATGCCATTAATATTCATTAATTGAGCGACATGAATCTTATTACCATATCGAATAAGACGTTTGCAAAGAAGATTTGAAGCATCGTTCTGCTTCTGTGCTGCATTCTCCTGCAGACTTTAGGCAACATTTAATGGATTGCTTTACAGAACAAAAACAAGCTAGTTGTCTTCAAATAAAAATACATAAATAAAAATCAGTGCTATCAGCTCTATCCGTCCTCATTAAAACAAATGCACTTGGTGTGACGCCTGAGTGGGAGAAGGACTTCCTCCTCATGACAGAAAGTGACGGCGTTTAGAGAAAATGATTTCTGGATGTTTGAGAAACAAATGATGAGACACTGATGTCATGATCTGGTCTGCGTTGCATTATTGACCGCTCTCCTCTGTCTGCCTCTTGTGTTTGGGAACGCAGGCCTGTCCACGCTGTCTCCTGCCGGCTCTGGCAGAGGGAAGGACCGGGGGAAGAGCAGGAAGTCCATATTTGGCACAGCCCCTACTCCTGCGCTGACTCAGAGCCGCACCCCTGGTAAAGGTACGCAAAAAAACGTATGAAGAAGTACAAAAAGACATACAAAATTCCAAGCTTACAAATTATTTATCACTTGTATATAGACTCTTATGGCACTACTTCTATTCTATTTATTGTATCACTATTTTACTGGTTTAACTCCACTGTTGGAGGAGCCTGTGACCTAAGATTTCCATCGACATAACTACACTGTAGCTATGTACGAATGACAATAAAAGCCTTAAATCTTCAATCTGAAAAAAGTTTGGGGAGAAACATCCTAAGCTGACATTCCAAATCAAATCTCAAAACTCTTGATTTAAAACAATGCTGCATCCTGATTGGTTCTACAGCTACTCTAAATATCCAAGGACAACCACATCCCTAAAAGCAGCAAAAAGGGTTTTCAGGGTCTTTAAAGGTCTCTCTCCTCCCTCTAGGTGGCAGCGAGCGGCTGAGCTGGGAGGAGCAGCAGCAGACGTCTCCCACCCTGAACCCCCCCACCTCCCTCAGTGCCATCATCCGCACGCCCAAGTGTTACCACATCTCCTCCGTCAATGAGAACGCAGCCAAGCGCCTGTGCCGCCGCTACTCTCAGAAGCTGATCCAGCACACGGGCTGCCAGCTGCTCAGAACTTACCCAGCAGCCACTAGGATCGATTCGACAAACCCCAACCCTCTGCTCTTCTGGCTGCACGGCATCCAGCTGGTGGCACTCAACTATCAGACTGATGGTGAGACGCTGAAACTCTCTGTATGCAAATCACTTAATCAGCACTTTCTGTTAATGTATGTCTCACTTGCCATCAAACATTACTCATTAAATCCCTCTTTTATGTATATAATATCACTTAATCCCAAGTAGTAGTTAGTGGAACATAAAGGAGAGTATATTCTGTTCTACTCTGTCATCTTCCTCCTTTGTAATGCAATAGAAAGCAATGTCAAGGCCTCATTTACATAATGATGTGAGCTTTTTACAACTTTGCAATCCCTTGAAAATAATATCTAAAAGACTATATAGTTCTAAAAGGCATATTACATTTAAAAGAACCTCTCATCCTCCTCTTCTTATTCTCATCTGATCTTTGTCCTACTCCTTTCCTTTTTAAGCTCTTTTCCTTTAGTTCAACCCTCGTGTTTTATCTATCTCTTTATTTCAAATCATCCTCTCCATCATTTAGAAAGAGACTTACTTGCACTCAGACATGTCGTTTTATTTTTGTAGCACACTCTTATAAAGCCAACTTAAACTTGTCTTAATTTTCCAACTTTTTTACATCCTCAAGGTGAATTAAAGGTAGGGTAGGTAAGTTTGAGAAACCGGCTCGAGATACACTTTTTGTTATATTCCATGGAATGCTCTTAACATCCCGATAGCAATGAATATCTTAAGTGCTTTGACAACAAATCCATAAAAAAATGTCATCTGTGGAAGCAGTAGTACTGTAAAAAGCACGACCAATCATTTTAGCCGGCCTGGCTAAAATAACTGGATGGCCTACCTGCCTGTCAGCCTTCCATCTGTGCACAAACTTATCTCGTGCCCTCATTGGTCATGTGTGCGTTCGTGTGTGTTGGAGGAGGGGCTCTGTAAGGAAGTAGCAGATTTGTTCCGGCTGTGTATTTTCAAATTCTAGCGCACTCGAGCTGGTTTCTCCAAAATTACCTACCCCACCTTTAATGATTCATACCATACTGTGTTTACATTATTACCTTATTTCTCTCCCCTCAGACTTGCCCATGCATTTGAACACAGCTCTGTTTGAGGCTAACGGCGGCTGTGGCTACGTCCTGAAGCCGGCGGTGCTGTGGGACCGCAGCTGTCCGCTCTATCAGCAGTTCTGTCCGATGGAGAGGGATGTGGAGAAGATGAGCCCCGCCGTCTACTCCCTCACTGTGAGTTAATGTGACATTTGGAGCAGAGTGGGAAATCAATCAGGAGGACGACTTTGTCCTGGAGAGGTTGTGCTCTGCACTTTTCCTCCTCACTCCTTCGTATATTACTTATTACTAACCTCTTTTATACTGTCAGTTTACATTTCAGGAGTGCTGCGTAATCAGTTTCCTAAGTAAAGAGGATCGGATCGTATCATAGCTGTTTGTGTCTGCAAATACTTTTTGCTCCTTTAAAAAATACATATATTTTCTTAATCTTTACAAATATATATCTCAAAAGTCTCTAAAATAGATAATTTTTCATGGTACATTTTTAAAAGCCTCAAGGCAATTCAATCTTTCTTAAGCCCGTTTTTCATCCTTAATAACCATACCTGCAATATGTGCACTGACATTTTAACTGGTCACTCCTAAGTACTCATGAGAGTCATTAAGGTGTGTTTGGACAGTTTTATTGTGAAGAGGTCTCTATGTGCTTATATCTGAGATGCATGAAGGCCACCCTGTTTACTCCATATACCAGTGATTGAGAACAGGACCTCATAAAAGCTCTGCATTGCAATATGTCCACTCTATGTCTCACAACCACCCTCTGTCTGTCTGTCTGCGCTTTTCTTGACTTTCTGTTACTCATTGCATATTGTTTGGGGAAATGAACGATGAAAGCCCTAACAGTTTATCTCATCGTTATTGCATCGTCACAGAAAATTCAAGTTACAGACTTCAAATCAGACATTTAACTGAATTGGTCAAAAATAAAACTGGGACAAATATTTCAGCCTGGAGTTAAATTCATGACAAAGTAAGAGTGTACGATTTGTTGACATTAAGTGATTATTTGTGCTTTTAAGTGTCCGATGAAGTCTGTAAGTAAAAACGTAGTTAATGTTGGAATTACACGACAAAATAATGTGAATAATTATGAACTTCTGATGATACATCTGCTTTTATTTACCTCTCCAAACATTGACATTCATGTTCTTTGTGAGGTTCAAATGATCTGCTCAAATGCTGTGTGTGTGTGTGTGTGTGTGTGTGTGTGTGTGTGTGTGTGTGTGTGTGTGTGTGTGTGTGTGTGTGTGTGTGTGTGTGTGTGTGGTGTGTGGTGTGTGTGTGTGTGTGTGTGTGTGTGTGGTGTGTGTGTGTGTGTGTGTGTAGTTGTGTGTGTGTGTGTGTTGTGTGTGTGTGTGTGTGTGTGTGTGTGTGTGTGATGTGTTGTGTGTGTGTGTGTGTGTGTGTGTGTTGTGTGTGTGTGTGTGTGTGTGTGTAGTGTGTGTGTGTGTGTGTGTGTGTGTGTGTGTGTGTGTGTGTGTGTGTGTGTGTAATAGAGTCTGCGTTGGCCGGTGACCTCACTGCTTAAGTTTCCACCCAATAAGCTAAAAACTAACATTGATTTAGTAAAAGTGCAAAGTGTTATCTGCACATGTTGTTAGTACATTGTGTATAGTGTTGCTCTTTAATCCTCACACCCCTTGTCTCTGTTTTTCCCTCTTAGATTGTCTCCGGTCAGAACGTGTGTCCCGTTAATAACGCTGGCAGCCCCTGCATCGAGGTGGATGTTCTGGGCATGTCCATCGACAGCTGCCACTTCCGCACCAAGCCCATCCACCGCAACACCCTGAACCCCATGTGGAGCGAGCACTTCCAGTTCACCGTGCACTGCGAAGAGATGTGCTTCCTGCGCTTCGCCGTAGTGGAGAACAACAGCTCCCAGACCACCGCTCAGAGGACGCTGCCTCTGAAGGCCCTCAAGCCAGGTACGAGTCTGAAATATAAAATATACTGCAGATACAACCATGAGAAAGGATCTGAACATATTTAGAATCAATAACAATTTCTGCAGGTATTGTATTATTGAAATACGCCTTTGGAAAAACATTGAAAAAAGTTTAGCAACGTTCAGCTGTAATAAGGAAATATCTTAATTCAGTTCATTCAAATGAGAAAAACTGCAGAAGATATTTAGAATATATATCATATCTTATAAAGGGCTTTGATGTATAACAGAAATGAAATATAATTGAGTCTTTTTGTTTTGTGCCTGGTGTCAGTCCCTTGTTATATCCTGACTAAGTTGCTTTTCATAGGCTAACTGTAAACATAGAAAAATACAAATCAATTAGACCTAATACAAGATTCTTAACTATTCTTTTATTCTTGGTTTTATTGGTCTATATGTAATCAGAATATATGTTCTTGTTGTTTGTTTCAGGTTACAGACACGTCCAGCTGAGGACGCAGCATAATGAACCCCTGGAAGTGTCAAGCTTGTTTATCTACAGCCGCAGAATAGAGGAGGGTCCCACAGGGGGCGCTACTCCCTCATCACTGGTAAGACTTGGCAGCTTTACATGTTCTGAAATGGCAGGGGTTGTGGGCACATGTGACAATGTACCTCCAATTGTGCTTTAAAGACTGTCCGCTAAACCAGTAACATGACAGTGTGTTTATAATAACATGCTGCTCTCCTCACAGCTGTTCAGTTCAGAGGAGAAACATGCGTCGCAGCAGCACAGGGTGACGGTGTACGCGGCTCCTGGCCCTGAACTCTTCACCGTGTTCTCTGTGACAGAGCAGACCACCGCCAAACAGCTGCTTGACACGGTTAGTATTTCAGAAGTGAAGTGGTGATTGTTGCAGCAGATTTTTTGGGGCAATTTTTCATTTGTCATGTCGTGTCATACTTCCTTACGCAGGTTGTAGCATCTTCTGGAAACCCCTCGGAGTACTTCCTGTGCGAGGAGAAGGTTCCTCTGTTGAAGGAGCGCAGCGAGGTGAAGCGCTGTGCTCAGCACCGTGCTCTGGCCCCGGAGGAGGAGGTGGTCCGACTGGTCTCCAGCTGGAACTCTGAGGAGGGATATGTGGGGAGGATCTGCCTCAAAACAAGAGAGGAGGTACACACAGACTCAAACTCTGTATACAACTGATCTCAGTGGATATTATCTTCAAAGAAAAGCAATTTATTACATGGGTTTAGTGGTATTAATTCATGAATCGTATCTGTTGAATAATATAAAACAATTGAATCTGTGTTTATGTTAATGTTCACCCACTGACTGTAGTTCCATTTATCATATAACCACCACAAAAGCAGCCAATACACACTTTGTAGTGCTCCATCATGTAGACTATGGCTCCCTCTTGTGGTTGTCTTATATAATGCATTGAAATAAAGGCACACTGTTCTTAAAGGGACAGGAGGTTCATATGAGGTAGCTGCATTTAGTTAATTTGCATATGACTCTGGTTTGAATCTGGGATTCTGCCACATATTGATGTTGCTGTGCATTATCTTTCTTGCAGAACTTGAATGAGAAGAACTCGGTGCTGGAGGGAGAGGAGGAGGTGACAGTGGGAGGTAGAGATGGGTCAGGAGTAGGAGTAGGAGCATTGGAGGAAGATATGTTCTTCGTCCAGGTCCATGAAGTTTCACCAGAACAGCCGCACACTGTGATCAAAGCTCCACGCTACAGCACTGCTCAGGACATCATACAGCAGGTGAGGAGAGTCAAAAAGCACCTGATGAGATCATGACAGCTGTTTTAAGGATTCTAAACTTTAAAGGAGAGGTGTCATGGCCATTTCCACTGATCATAATTCCATTGTTGAGGTCTACTAGAATAGATTTATACTGTGCATTTTTCCAAACTCACATTGGTTTCTCATACAGCATCTCTGTAAACTACGTGTATTCACTGAATTTCAGTCTCTGCCTTTAACGGCTCGTTGTAGCTCCAATAGCTCCAGCCCCCACCCTCCCTGTGAGCACAGTGTGCTCTGATTGGTCGGGACGTTGTGAATCGCGCTGAGCTCCGTGGAGGTGTTGTTTCCTTGTTTAGGATACATAGCGAAACACAGCCAAACTCATCCTGAGCACACACAAACTCACAGCCGAAGTAAAAACAATAAGTGTGGCTTGATATTGAGTAAGAAAAAGGTTGATAAACGCTGTGAGAATGGGTCTGCAGAGAGAATTTCGCCGCGATCCCAACTGTCTGTTATCAGCCTGCAGCCAGGGAGGAGAAATCAGCTGAGCTGCCTGTGTGTGAGGAAGTCCGTGGATTGGTCAATTTGGACCAATCAGCGGGGGCTTAACGTAACGGCTCTGCGGACGTAACGTAACGGCTCCACGGATTGGTCCATTTCGTTCCGGGTACGGCATGACATCATGCCGTACCCGGAAGAATCAAATGGACAATGACGTATCTCCAACGAGGCGTTTTGGGGAGGTATTTTCTGTGTTAGAGTTTTACTCGCTACAGGGTGTACTTTGAGGGTTTGTGACTCTGCAGACCGTTTACATGCATAAAAACCTTCATAACACACAAGGGGACGGGTAATAACCGGAAAAGCATGACACCTCTCCTTTAAAGATTTGCACACTAACCCTAAAGTGGCTTAACTTGTTTCTCACACCATGTATCTATCCGTCTAGACTCTGTCAAAAGCCAAGTACTCCTACACTATCCTAGCTAATCCCAACCCCTGTGACTACGTCCTGATGGAGGAAGTGACCAAGGACGCCGGCTCTAAGAAGTCCTCCACGTCCAAGCCCCTGCAGCGGGTGCTCCTGGATCACGAGTGTGTCTACCAGGCTCAGAGCCGCTGGAGGGGCGCGGGAAAGTTCATTCTGAAATTCAAAGAGCAGGTAGCTCTAAACATGCTGACCTATTTCCTGCGATAGAGACCTTTTAGTGCTTATTTTCCATCTTCTCATTTCATGTTTTTGTGAATGACGTCACTCCCATATGCATGTTTTGACTTTGTATGTGCTCTCAGGAACTTTTACTGTTACACTAACATGCTGATCACTCTCATCTCAACTCCGCCATGTTGTAATGTGCGTGCCTTTGTATTTCCACACCTGCATGATGGCTTGTATGTGCTTTTGAACCTCATGCTGCTCCGCTTATTTAAACTGCTTCTTTGCGCTTTGCTGTTTTTGTGATTTACTGTAAAGTGTCTGTTAATTGTGTTACATGTGACAACTATTATATATATATGATGTTTTTATATTTTGTCTGTCAGTATTTATTTTATTTATTATATTGCTGTTTTATACTTGAGGCATTTTGTGCTGACATGTTTGTAAGTTCTAATGTTCATATGAGCTGCCTCAATAAATACAAGTTTAATATTTGAAGTATGTAAATTCATCTCTTTAAATAATTACCACAGAAAGAATGATTGACAGGATACGACACCAGCAGTTATTAAAAGTACAAAACACACAATGAAACAGGAGGCAACAAGTATGACGTGTTTCGTAGAAGAAGAATCACATGCACATTTCTCTACATTCTTTCTGTATGTGCAGTAACATTCATCTTTCTCTGCTCCCAGGTGGTGCGGGAAGACAAAAAGAAAGTCATTTCCTTCGCCAGCGAGCTGAAGAAGCTGACCAGCCGCAGCCGCAGCATGACGACAGGCGGGGGGGTGGACGGCCCGGCGCAGAGTAAGGATGATAGAGCGGCATGCTGTGTGGCTCTGACCGAGCTGCAGGAGTGAGGCTCTGCTGCGGTCTGTGCATGAGGTACCGTATGCTGTCTAACACCTAACATCACTAAAGGAGCATTTGAACGTTGCATTCATCAGTACAGATTGGTGGAGCAGGTGATGTGGATTGTGACGTGTGTTGTAGGGTTATATTTGGGGATTCAATTGAAGTGTTGGTAATGCATGTAAAGTCACTTTTCTTCTCTCAAAAAATGATAGTCATGATTTCATTTTTTGTCGCATTAGGGATCTGAATTAAAGGGGACCTATCATGCAAAATGCACTTTTGTACGTCTTTTATACATGAATATGTGTCCCCGGTGTTCCAGGGAACTCACCAAGTGTCAGAAAACACAACCCTCTCTATTTTCCTCCATACCCAAATCTCTAAAAAAAGGGGCTGCAACGTATCTGATAAAAACTGATCCAGATTTGAACACTGTCCTGACGTCAGGACAGTGGCGCTACGGCTATTGGGCCAACTCCACCAATCAGGAGGAGACAGCCACGGCCATTGCCGTTCGAAAGCGCTGGAGACGCTGTAGTACATATGCCAGGCCTGTAGATGGTGCTGTTCTCACTGAATCTGCCCTTGCAAAAACAGGGGTAAAAAAGTGCAAATTGAGCAAAATGAGGCATGGCTAAAATGCATGATCTGTTTGGTATTTTGAAAAAAAAAAAGTATAAATATGCCTTATATAGGTATGGTCCTACACTATATTATTATAATATAGCATGATAGGTCCACTTTAAGTTTGTGTAATATTGGTATTATTTAGACGGCATAAACCTAATTCAGGATCCTATCCAACCTTAAAATATGTTTTAATATTATGAGTTTGTTCTTTTATATTACAAAATCTTTCTCAAACATACAGATTGTCTTTTAGATTCACCCTACGATGTTGAGTCAAACTAAGCAGAGTTTCAAAAATGTGTGTGGTAAAAAGTCTACATGATTCTAGTGCCAATGTATTACTGTAAATATATCTGGAAACAAAATGCTCAAGATTGAAATACTTATCATTAACATACATATTGTGTAGAGAGATAACACATACTACATTTTTATCCTCCAGTACAACATGTATGCATTGCAATGTTACTGTTATGGTGTAACGTTTGACATTTCCATCAAATGTCATCTGTTGTTTTGACCAGATGTCTCACCTCTGCCGTTTGGAAACATCTGTGCTCCTCTGCAGGGTGTCTGTCTGCAGCTGCAGGGCTGAAGGTGTGGGTGGCAGAGGGCCGGGTGGGGGCAGGAAGGTTCCTCCAGACCTCTTCCTCCTCCTCCTCCTCATCATCATCCTCCTTTAGGGAGCAGGTCCACCTGCCCACCTCCTCCCTGACCCCCTCCACCTGGAAGCTCCACCTGCTCAGGAACTGGAAGAGCCTGAAATGAAGAGAGAGACTAAGGTTGACTAATTCTACATTTGGAGGATACTCCTTTAAAAAAAAAAAGCCGTCCGACACACTGTGGGATACGTCCCTCTCGTTGGAGTCTACGTGTGATGCTTCCTCTTGTTAGTTGAGCATGTTAAGGACGTGATTCAGACTCTCAGCCCCTTTGCTTGGTCTCATGATGGGCAGGAGTTTAACCCAGCGTCACTTTGAAGCAGTGAGGGGGGGAGGGGGGGGCAGGAAGCTCTTTTGGTTTATTGGTTGTAGAGCGGCTCCACAGAGAGGCGGAGAACCAGAGGCAGCTGCTCTTATTGAAGTCATATAGTGTGTGATCAGGGTCTCAAAGTATTCCTTTTCCCACAGATGAAAAGGAGCACTTCCCTGAGTCACATTTGAAGGATAAAGAGGAACGGGTGCCAGTTTTTTTATCTCCCAGGAAACGACACTATAATAGATGAAGGTGGCCTGCAAATATCCTCTGGATTGAATGAGTTTAGAGAGACAAATTGTATCCAAGAGATAGTGTCCTAGCACAGTTTGCTATTGGATGACTTTATTTGGTTCCAAGAAGGTTTATTATTGGTTTGCTCGTAACGCACAAATGAAGCTCAGAGCAGACAGAGGCAGACCTGCATGTACAGAAAGAGAGATGTGGGAGGGCTGAAGAGGTTTAAAAGTATCCTTCTCTCTTTCTCAGGTATGAGCTCTTTTGTCTGAGGGCGTTGTGAAGGAGGCTGAACAGCTGGCTTGTTTGGTTATTTCTTACTGTTCCAGTTTCACAGTACTGTAAGGGCACATGTCGGGCAGCGCTCACAGGATACAGCAGTGACATGCTCAGATATTCTGTAAAGAAGCAGCAGTGCTTTGGGGCGATTTCTTGGACACTTCTGTCGCTGCCCGGAAGGTGACGATACGTGGACAGCATTTCAAGGCAGTATGCAACATTAATGTGTGCAGGGCAAATGTGAAACCATCCCTTATCACTTTGTTTGTGATGACGTTGCCCCTCTGCTGTGCCTTAAGATGTTGCAACACTGCCCTACAGTAATTAAATTCATTGTGTAGTTGTATATCTGGCTGGTTTCACAAAGCATTTTAATTCTGTTATCATTGTCCACTATTAATTATGGCGTCTTTGACAATAGAACACATCCAAGTTAATTAAGTAATGCTACTGTTAACAAAAAAAACATTGTTGTCTTAACAAGTGGCCATGCAATACTTTTTCCAAAAAATCAAATACTCTCTAGAAATGGCAAAATGATCTGATTACCTTTTCTAAATAGGATTACAAATCTGACCAGACATTAGTTCCAGGTGTCTGTCTTCGTTAACACGGTTCACTGGTTTCATGAGTTAAGAAACTTCAAACTAATACATCACACTTCCTTTATTTGTTGGGAATAATGATAATAGCTTTGAGATCGTTTCACAGCCAGATCTTCTTAAAACAATATTTTGCACATTTTTCCTTTTGCTGTCAATTTCCGTGTTTTTCTTTGACTGTCTGAAAAAGAGAGATTTGATTGTTGTGAGGTGGTCTAAAAAGTTCGGCCCAGTTAGAAATTTAGATTTGAGGAAAGCATGAGATAATTGTTTGGATTGTTTGTATAACCCTTTGTTGAACTCAAATGTTTATGCCCAACTGTAAAATTCTCCAAACAAAAATATTCTAAAAAAACAGATGAAATTGCCTTTAGATTTATTTGAAATGCAGTATCTTTATAGATGAGTAGTATTGATAGATTGTCCATAATGATTTTAGACTTTTCTTTATTTCTCTATTGCTACTGCTCATTTCAGAATGTTTACTTAAACTTGATTGACTTGGGGCCACTTTCCCCTTTTTTATGTTTTGATATTTAACATTTCCATATGTTTAAGTGTGAATTACCTTTTATTTAAAAAAAAAAAAGTATTGTTTTAATTGGCATTCAGATATTAATACATAAGTATTCCTTCTAGTGTTGTCATGTAGATCCTTGAGGAGCCCAACAATATGTCGACGCACTGTTTAGTAAGCGAAGATAAGAAAACAGACCCAAAAATCCTTATCCAACATTATTTGGACACATTTCCTTCATTAGATCTGTAGAAAATCAGTTGTGTGTGGTGTATAACTAAACATGATTTGGGGTTAAGAATTAGTTTTACTCTTTTTAACACACAATCCAACACTTCTTCTGACATGAAAGACACCAAGTATAATTCTATAGACATTTTTTTTTATCAACCATGCTCCACAAAAATAATGTGTGTCCTTTGACTTTGTTCACTGCCAAGTAATGATGTTTGAATGTTAGTGCAATAAGTTCTACCCCTGGTTCGTAACTCCTTTTCTTGATTTGTTTATCCACACACAAAGCTTATCTGTTATCAGCGGTAAAGTAACCGTGATCTAAATCTAGATTTAAATTGTGATCCAAGAAACCACGACTCTAAACGTGTGATAACTAGCAACTGCTTATATAACTATGTGAAAGCCACACTGACTTTAAACAGAAAGGGACATTTTCTGTTACATTTCCTCCCTTCTTTCTAACATGTAGACCTCATTTCTGAATGTAACATTTCTTAATGTGTTGAACCTGAGACAAATGTGTGTTTGGATGTTATTTATTTTAATGTGAAGCCCTGGTTGGCGGTTATCTGTTGTTTCTGTGTATTTTCTTGTAAGTAGTTTTGTGTTTTTTTATTTATTTGAATATGTGAGAGGATTAATTCTCCACTGCCCTGACTTTACTCAAACTTATTTAGAGACTAGAGAAGTATTTGACTTTATGTGTAAAATATTCAGTATAGTATTCATACGCCTGATGTTATTCTGCAGCACACAGCAGCATCTTTTATTGACTTTTATTTCATGAGTTTTCAGAAATGTGGATAAAGCTGACAGTTTGTCCTGTTATTATTTGGATAATAAATACCCATTTTGCTGTATTCGTTATATCCGCTGATTATGACATGTGTGTTTCATTATTAGCACTCTGTTGTTTCCATAAGATGTACAGTATACCCTTTAACATTCACTATTCATGTTATGATGTGTACAAGTGAACATTTGTCTATGTACTTGCATTTTTAAATGTATGAGAAATGGTGTAATTGTCATTTAGCAGGATCACAATACAAATAAAAATACATATCTTACTTGTGCGTGAGCGTGTGTGCGCGTGAGCGTGTGTGTGTGTGAGCTCAGTGGCAAATACCAAACAGGTAAAGTTGTGATTGGCTTACGATGTTTGAGGTAAGCATCAATACGGAAAGAGAACATTTAAAACAATTTGTTTTCTTAGCCAAAGAAAAACATTTTCAACCTGATATCACTTGTGTTGCATTTTTCTTGATATTTTCGTCATACTATGTATGTGTTTTTTTCAGATATTTACGACATACTATACTATGACTTTTCTGATATTTTCCATCTGACATTTTTCTGATATTTATTATAGTACTTTTTATCGGATATCTGATATGTCTAAAGTAACAGAAAACAGTGATCCTTATAGACAAATTCATGATACAATACAGTTCTTTAGTAAATGTACAACGACAACAGTATTTACGTGCTTCTTATTAGTGTTTGCCGTGAATGATTGACGCCCTGCGATCACTTCCTCAAACTAAAGAACAAAAGGAAACTTTGTAAAACATTTGGACTAAAACATACATGATAAATCAGAAATACCCTTTCCAACCTCATTTCAGCCACCAATCATATCTATTGCATCTGTTTCACATTAATGAGCCATGTTCATCTGCCTCAGATGTGCACAGTCGACTCAGAAGTCGGGGACATAATCAGCTCATTTAGTTGAATCAGTAACAGCGGCTCAGGCGTGCCCTTTCTTCCAGAAACTGTTTAAAATATTGCTCCTCTGTACAGTCTGCTAATTCCGGCTAATAAGAAGCACTCGGTTTCAAATATCACCGCCGATAATGTGGCACCCTCTGTTGGGTTCCTTAGTGCGAAATTATGCAGTCAGCAAATTAAATGTGAGAGTTAAAAACTGGTCATTTTGCAGCTTAATGGTCCAGCTTCTTCCAGACTTCAAATGACATAATTCACTGTAATGTGGTTCACAATTAAAAAGTTCTCCCACCTTTATGATGATGAACTTTTATGAGGGAGAATGATCCACCTGCTCCTTACAGAGAATCTCTTAGTGGGATTAGGGGATTTAAAATGACCTCTTTAAGCAAAACAGGAACACTTTTGATAGAGACTCAAAATTGGGATATTCTCGCTTTTTTTATATGACACTTAAAGGTGGGGTAGGTAATTTTGGAGAAACCAGCTCGAGATCGCTAGAATTTGAAAATACACAGCCGGAAAAAATCTGCCACTTCCTAGAGCCCCTCCTCCAACACACACGAACGCGCACATGACCAATGAGGGCACGAGATAAGTTTGTGCCCCGATGGAAGGCCGACAGGCAGGTAGGCCATCCAGTTATTTTAGCCGGGCCGGCTAAAATGATTGGTCGTACTTTTTACAGTACTACGGCTTCCACAGATGATATTTTTTATGGATTTTTTGTCAAAGCACTTAAGATATTTATTGCTATCGGGATGTTAAGAGCATTCCATGGAATATAACAAAAAGTGTATCTCGAGCCGGTTTCTCAAACTTACCTACCCCACCTTTAAGTTGTAATTATGCCGAGAGGTAGATAGTCTCTCAGAGCGCCATCAATCACTTGACTCTTTGTGAGAAAGTGTAAAAAGTGTTAAAACACCCATTAATCCATACACTCCATTAGACCTTAAGAAAGCCTTATTTTAGCACAGCTATCTCTGGTTACTTCTAGATAGAGTAGACACATCACCAAGTTAGCCAAACTCCACGTTTCAATGGATGAAATAGTCTTTTATTTGGATAAAGTTTGCCAAGCAACTTGACAAGGATACAAAGGCAATTCTGAACAATACAAGACTTCATGTGTCAATGCAAAGTGTCAGACATATTCAAGATGAGTCGCTGTAATCCTGAATGAAACAAGTGCGCTTCTATACAGACACCAGTCGGTTAAAGGGCCATACAAAGTTCATCTCTTCCTCAAGTTTCTTTCATTATCTCTTAAAAAGTAGAAATATAACAAGTCCTTTCAATCTAGGTCCAGTTGTCCAAAGGTGTGGCAGCTCTTAGATCACGTGTCTTTAAGGGATGCTCTGATTGGGAATTTGAGTTAAGAAACAAGATGTTTTAATTAGTTACCTGGCAAAAAGTCAATCAGATGCTGACTAATTGCTCATTTACATTTATTTTGATCAATTGTCTGGATTTAGAGGTCGAGTTTGTAGGTTTACGTGATGTGTTGGTAGAAATGTAAAATCATATTCATTATAAGTAAATATCACCTGAAAAGAATGTTTTTTTCCCGTCATCTTAGAATGAGCCCTTCATATCTGCACAGGGAGCAGGTCTGTTACACCGCCATGTTTTCTACAGAAGCCCAGAACGGACCATTTCTGGCACCTGAGAAGTCATTTCACATTTTTACCTGAAGGCCACCGTAGTTCTCCAACATGCTTGCAAAGAGAGGGGTAAGCAGCCTCACCACTAGATGCCACTAAATCCTACTCACTCTTCCTTAAAAAAAAACAAATGAAATCTTTAAGTTGATATGTTATGAATCTTACTTCTTAGTCAAATTCACATTAAACCCCAGGATATGCTAATTCACCTTTTTAGCTGATCTGATCATTAGATCAAGTTGGATTGGAGCATCCCCATTAGTTCCACGACTAATGAACAGAAACAATGTCGTTAATGATCTTGGCAATAAGGAGCGAGCACAGTGGTTCAATCAGAGTTTAGTCATGGGTATGTGAAGGCTGTTCCACGGGCCCATCCACAACTCCTCCTCGTCGGACAGCGTTCTGTCACTCGGACACTCCAACGGCTCCCCCACAACCAGCCCAGCGTCGTCACTACAGACGTCCACCTGCGTCTCTCTCTCCCCGTCTCCCAGCTCCTCTCTCCCCCCCGGGCCCTGAGGCGTCTCCCTGCCGCTCTGAGCCTCTCTGAGCAGGTTTGACTTAGACTCCACGCTGTCGGGGCCCGTGTTGCTTGTGCTGGATCCTAACGAAGCGCTGGATTGTCGGGTGTTAAACGTACTCAGCGTCTTATTGTTGTCAGTGTTGGAGAAAGAGGAAGTGGCCGTTGCCGAGGCGATCATCCCCGAGCTTTGGAAAGTGCGCAGCGTGTTGCCCCCGCTGTCCGCTGGTGATAGGGGGTTGTTCAGGGGAACTCTCTCCTCTAGTGTGGCGGCCATTTTGTCCAGTTTTTTAAAGTGCTTGGCCAGCCGTGAGCTGAAGACGGGCGAGGGGATTTTGAGGTTGTTGTTCATGGTGGTGCTGTGCGTGTGTGTGGTACATGTGGCGTTCACTGTGCGTCGGGTGCGGATGATGGAGCCGTTCTGGGCCAAGTAGATGCTGCCGTTCACATTGCTGTGGCTGTTGAGGGTGGGGGGGAGGCGGCTGCGCTGCGTGTCCGGCAGGCTTTCCTCTCCGGTGGAGCTGGTCTCATATTCCCGGTCCACCACCAACTTGATTCGACGCTTTCTGTTGCCCGGCTGGAAAAACAGAAAGATAACAAATGTCAGAAAACTGTCCACTGAATTTAATCAAGTTAAAAATAAATAATCCTTAGGGCGTTTTCTTTTAGTGTACATGGATAAAATGTTGGAGAATGTGTATCTTTTTAAAAAAATGTAAAGGTCCCCTATTATACTGTTTTTCATCAATATATTATAGGTCTCAGATATATACAAAACATGTCTCTGAAGTGTTTGGCTCCAAATACCAAACAGATCATTGCAGCATCCCATAATCCCCTCTGTTTCAGCCCTGTTTCAAAAGTGCTGATTCTCTGTCTGTTACTTTAGATGAAAATAAGGAGCCACTCCCCCACGCCCCTCTGAGAGATATTTGGTTAAAAAGAACACAATGGTGCTCTAGGAGGAGATTCAGGTGATAAGGTGGGGGGGGTTTACCTTGGTTGGTGATTGGCTAATGGTTACACAAGCCAAAAAATCGTTATGACATCATAAAGTGGCCAAAATCTGATCAGCTCATTTTCAGACAGGTTTTTATATAAATGGATCAGGACAAAAAGAGAGAGAATCTTTTTTCCAGAAACTTTCAGAATCTCTTTACACAGAGGGGACACATGTTTATGTATAAAAGACATGAACAAGTGGATTTTGCATAATAGGTGACCTTAAAGAACGTCTTCAACTAATGTTAAGGTCATGTAAGTCAAAAATATAATCCGTGACAATTTTTATTTTGAGATGTTTGTCCTTTAAAATAAAAAAATTATCGATTTGAAAAGAGTGTTAAAGTTCACTGACACTGCAAACACACTTCACAGCAAAAAAGGTCAGAATGTTTTCCTGGGTGGGAAAGCGATTCAAAGCAGTGCTTTTTGAAATACACTTATATCTGCAATGTTTCTCCTTGTAACATAAAGCACTATGACATCTCTGTGTTAGGTCAGAGCAAACACTGCAGTGCACATTGTGGAAGAAGAAAATGTCTGCCAAGAAAATAACTTCTCAGATTGACACTCAGTTTTTCCATTTAACCCAGAGAGCAAGGTAGAAAGAATATGATCATCCTTACAGAGAAAAGACAGTATGTTCTCCTTCCTGCAGATAACAGGTATTAGAAGAACTCACTGATACAGGGAGAATGAAGAAATGACTCATGTAAGAAGCTCGGTGGAACAAAGACAGGTCGGTGAATAACAATCTTTCAGCCACAGCATCAGAGAAAAGAGCCAGCAGGAAGTTGAGCGTTCACAAAAGGGAAATGAAATCTACGGAAGTAAACCAACCAGTTCTATCAGAGAAGGAGAGAGGGAGGGAGAGGAGGAACGTCTGATTGGAAAGCCACAACAAGAGAGACTAAGAAGGACATGCAGGCAATGTAAACTCCTGTGGATGTAAATCACAGCAAACAAGAGAGATTATAGTAATAGATTCCACACAGGTAATGACTGCACACCAGGCATTTTCAACAAGATCTTACTCAGTGGCAAAGCATGTAATCTGCGGGGGGGGGGGGGGCGGGGGCTGAGGCCTCATCTGCATTTCAATCTGTGGGCTCTTTTTCAGAAACCCCCTTTTCCTCTTCCTCGTCTCCTC